AGGATTCGTTCTCCGCCTGCTTGCAGCTGGTGAAGGCGCGGCGACGCAAAGCCTCGTTATTCCGACCCTTAACATGCTCCTGTAAAAGGTCGAGCACATCCGTCACTGAAGAGGTAGAATCGGGAGGCACTTGCAACGTGTGCTCCAAAACTCTCTGGGTCTCCAGCGACAAACACATCCGCAGTTAGATGAGCTGTTTGTTTGGAGGCATGCTGTCAAGGTCCACCATCGTGGAGTAATCTGTCCAACGCCGCCTCCACTCACGAAAAAGCTGAAACGTGACGTCTGGTGAGAGGGCGGGTGGGGGTTGAACAGATGCCTTGGGAGCTGTTTGTTTGGAGGCAAGAGTACCTGGAGGACGCTGGTGTGGTGGAGGAGGGAGGATATTGGCGCCTTGGTGCGCGAGTGAGGGAGGGTGGGTTAGCGCCAGGGTCGCCAATAGTGCCTCAAAACGCAACTTTTCCTCCTCTCTTCGTGTCTCCTCCCTCTGAAGTTCCATCTCTCTGCGTCTCTCGTCCCGGTCGTCCATCCACCTCAGAATTGTGGCAATGTCCGTCACTGGAGGTGGAGGATGAGAGTCTGCGCCCGGTGGAGGAGAAGGTGGTGGGGAGTCGTGTCTCCCATCTTGACGTTGTCCCTTCTTACCGCCCATCTTAGTGTGTGCGTGGACTGCACTGTTTAGTATATAAAGTGGCGCCTCAACAGCTCGAACCACATATATATGACATAAACAGCGCAGAAATAACGCATATAGTCCACTGTTCTGTCCGTGAGTGAGTGCGTGCGTGCGTGCGTGTGTGTGTGTCTGAGAGAGCACTTCGTGGTGGCCTTAATGCCGGTGGCTAGAGACGCGGCGGGGGTGAGACCGTCAGTGTCTCCCTGGGATGTCACACGAGAAGGGTGTACGCCTGCGTGCTCCGTGGGTACCACAAAAAAAACAGGCCAATGCTCAACTCTCAGCTCTAGACACACACTAATACACTGACACTAACACTGCCACCGTCACTAAAACGCACTGTGACGGCCCAACACTGCACATCGCGGCGAAACACAGCGCAACACAACACAACACACTATGAGTCGACGCGCATATCGCCGGCAGATGTAACCGTCGGCATTGTTCACACACTTTGTAAGTCCACAGATCCTAGTCACTGCGCCATGGTGGTTACAAGTGTTCCCTGAAGGAATGCAGTGATGGGTAGGGAAACACCGGGTAACACTGAAGTCCGTTTATTATGGATGAGAGAAATACAAGTGGTGACTAGAGTGTGCCATGCACGGCTCACACAGTCAGACTGAGGCTGCCTTGCCATATGGCAGCCTCGGGGCAATGTTGCCACATAACGCGTGCAGCGTTGCCACGCAATCATATACATAGGTGCTACTCGGCACAGTAGCTTATATGCAAGGTTGCTACTCGGCACAGTAGCTTAGATACATAACCTACAGTGCCCGGGTGGGCTAATGCCCTTAAAAAAAAAAAAAAAAAAAAATTAGAGTATAGTTTGCACAAGATATAGAAATTTTAGTCTAATGCAGTACATTTCTGTATAAGCTTTTTAACTCATTTTCGGGAAGATATATGTAACTTTCTTCATTTATTTTAACTCATATACATGCACACACCATCCTCAATATATACAGTGAACCCTCACTTTACGCAGTTAATTCAAGCCACGGCGACCCGCGTAAAGTGAGAAACGCGTAAAGGGAACAACATAACACATGGGATTAATTGAAATAGAGACCGGGCCGACCCCCAAACTTCACTTTTTCCCGACACAATACGTACGTTTTACTAAAAATAACCTCTTAACTTTATGATGGTATTCACCCACACATAATATAGAAGGGAACAGTCAATAAGAGAAGAATAAACTGAAGGTTAGGTTAGAAAAAAAAAAGGCTGGGGTTAACACTTACGTTAGTAGAAGAGATGGGTCGGCGTAGGGGAATGGAGGCTGGTTCCGAGGCAGAGGGCAGGCCACTGGCCCTCAGGTGAGCTTCATCGGTGTCGTGCACATTTACTATGTGCCACCCTGACAAATCCCTCAAAGTCATCATCACAGTCTCTACTTCTGTCACTATCACTGGCTTGGACTGGCTGTGGTGGGTTGCGGGCGAAGAACTCTGTTATGCTTTGCTGACGGCTGGTGTTTATGTTGTCCTGATAAACCTTGATGTAGGGCTCCATAGTCTGCAACAGCTGGGTAGTGAAGATTTCATACCTGTTTCCATCAGGGTCGTCGGAAAGAAGGAGCTTGGCTTTCTCGATACACTCGATGGCACCCCTAACATTACTATGGGATAAGCGGCATTATTCTTGGGATGACGCACCACCTGTCTCTTCACTGACGTCATCATCATCTACCATGTCGTCGGTAGTCACATAAGGATCCCTTATCACCTCCAGGATGTCGTCGTTGGTGGTCTCGCAGAAGCCTGCACCTGTAACACTCTGCGCAGCTTCTCTGGCAAGGTCCACTGCGACTGCAACAGTCTGAACCTCACCAGTCACAGATTTACTCTGCCTAACGCCTGGAATACCTTGCAACACATGTCTCCATGCGTCACGAACAGTTGCTACAGACAGCTGATCCCATGCCTCCACCAAGAAGTCCACAGCTTTCTTGACGTTGAATGTTCTCCAGAATTGTTTTAATAATACTTCTTGCTCTGCCAACTGTTGATCCTCGTCGTCTTCGCTCTTGCTATCGGTGTTGGTGTCACTCAGGTTACGCAACTCTTCCTTGGTGTTGGTGTAGTCGTTCAGGAGCTTAAATTTTTTAGTAGAGAATGCAGCTTTTACATTACAGATTAACTCTTGGTCCATGGGCTGTAATATAGACCTAGTGTTGGGAGGAAGGAAGACCACTTTTACGTTGGGGCGACGATCTAACAGTAGGGGCGAGTGTCCTGGTGCGTTGTCCAGCAGCAACAAAATCTTGAATGGCACATTCTGTTGCCCACAAAATTTCTTCACATCGGGAACGAAACAGTCATCAAACCAGGAGAGGGACAGTGTAGAGAACATCCACGCCTTACGTGCGGTCAGCCAGTGGACATTTAGCTTGGTCATGTCCATGCTCTTGTAGGCGTGCGGCTTGCGTGCTGTGTGGATCACCGATAACTTGAGCTTACAGGTACCGGAGGCATTGGTGGTAAACAGGACGGTGATGCGCTCCTTCTGCAACTTCCGGCCCCGACACTAGCTGGCATTCTTCACAACGAAGGTCTTGGAAGGTAGTTTTTTCCAAAAAAGACCAGATTCGTCCATGTTAAACACCTGGTCGTCGGTGTACTGTCCTTCCTCCATAATCTCACGTAAAAACGGAGGAAATTCCCTAGCCGCAACACGGTCAGCACTAGCTTCTTCACCACCAATGTTGATATTGGTGATCTTGTTTCTCTTCTTAAACCTCTGTAACCACCTAGAGAAAGCATTAAAGGGTTTGGGCTCTGTAATTCCCATCTTTCGTGACACTGCAGCATACAGTTCACATGCGTACTCCTTAACTGAGCGCGTGTCCGCCGCCATGTTCAGTCGCGCGTGACGCACCAAGTAGCTCACAAGTAATTTTTCTGTCTTGAGAAGCACCTGGTTGTGGCAATACTTGATCATAGAAGCACCTGTAGACTTTGTGATGTTCATGTGCTCCTTTATCTTGGCTGCATCCTTCTTAATTGTCCTGATCGTAGACTCGTTAACACCATGCTGGCGCGCAAGATCAACCTGTCTTGTTCCTTTCTCCAACTCTTGTATGATCTTATACTTAATTTCGTAGCTTAAGGAACGTCGTGTCTTCTTTGGCTTAGGGCGGCTGGGTCCAGGTAAGGAAAGGTTTCTCTCTGGGGGCGGTGGTCCGGTGGAAGCAATTTTACAGAACAATGGATTCATGTATACACGGTGCGGCCTGGAAGGATGAAACTGCCGCGGCTAGGTCAAGCGTCGTCTTTCCTCCCTCCCTCCCGCGGGTGGACACGTCATATTACTTTAAACCAATCACAGCTAGCAGCGGAGGGAGGTAAGGATGCATGGCCCAATTACAGTCCGATACGTCATATGACGTCACTGATAACGCAACAAAGACACACACTGCGCAACCAACTCGCGCCGCTTACACAACATGGCGGATGGCGGGAGGTTTGGATCCAAAAATGGCGCGGCTCGCCAGCCGCTCTCCACGTAATGGGGTACACGCACCGCGGAAAGTGAGCATTCCGGTTTCGGCAGGGTACCGCGTAAACGTGGAAACACGTAAAGTGGGACCGCGTAAAGCGAGGGTTGACTGTATTGTAAAAAAGGAAAAGAATTAATTGTATTAAGAGTAAACCTGTAATAAATTAATTACTAATTTTTTTATGTCTAGTGCAAACTATATGATGTTTATACTCAAATTAATCACTATCTTACAAAAATTACAGCAATGCAAATTATATACTGCCAAGTCAATTCAGTGACATTTTATAAGGGAAAAAATAAAACTCCTTCTGTTTTGATAACTACTAACTTTGTTATCTCCCCTCCATGACAGCTGTCTACACGGCATGCTCCCCCCCTCCCCTTCCTCACAGCCAGGGTGAAGGCAGCTTAGGCTTACAGTTTTTATCTTATAAAATGTCACAGATTAGACTTAGCAGAAAATAAATTAGATTGCTGGAATCCTTGCAATATAGTGATTAATTTGAGTATAAACATCACATAGTTTAATTTAAGTTTCTAGTAGTTAATGGTGCTTTAGACACACAGGAGATGTATAATTAGTGGGTCAGAGATGTACTGTTGAATTATTATTACCTGACTTCGTTGGTCCAACAAAATGGCAAGGGTTGAGAACCAAGGGTGCCAGAAAATCTGTGGTGTACCTGTACTATTTTATATACAAAAGAAAATAAAACAAATACTGAACTGCTAGTTTTAAAATACAGTAAAATAATAAAAAATATTGATACTGTTTAAAAATAAAATAAATACTTAATTCTACCAATTTCCTTACATAATCTGTGTATTGGGTGGAGGCTCCAGAGGAATCTGCCAAGACAGGACCCCTCGTTGTTGCCGCACTACAACCAATAATGGGTATGCATATCCACTCCTAGGGCTGGTCACTGTGACACGCACAGCATTTGTCTGCCAAATAAAGTCAAATGTCAAGTTCCTTGTGTGTATTCTTACATATAGCAATAAGGCATACTTATAATAATGTTACCATCACATCACAAAAAAAAATTATTGGTAAGATATTTTATGGTAAGTGTAAAAATAATAGTAATATTGTACTGTACAGGTATTCACTTATGCAAATGTTCTATTCTTACACCTCTTTCTCATTTAAACGAATATGTTCCCTTAAGGTAATGAACCAAATTCATACCAGAACCTGCAATCAACACAGGTAAACCTAAGTAAAAAAAAATTCACCTCTGGGTGCAGGGGAATCTTGAGCTACAAGAGATTACGTAGTTAAGGTGGAGTAGCTTTTGCAATCGTGGTCTAGTGGAAAACTGCCTGATTATAGTGCATTTTTTCCCAGCTGAGAAGAGATGCCCTACCCCCTCCTAAAGAGTTACAGCTGATTGGTTATTGCAAATCTGTCCAATTTCGTCCTGAAGTAATGATGTACAGTGGTCCCTCGGTTAACAAACGGTTTGATTAACGAAATTTCGGTTAACGAATTACCTCCCATAAGGATCTTCAATTCGGTTAACGAACAAAACTTTGATTAACGAAATCCTTACGACAAACACGTTTTGTTGTGAGCAACAGCTGATGGGCTAGTCTGCCAATTCAGTAATCTGTTCTATGTTTACATTCGTTTCCAGTGGAGTAAATATCAAGAAAGTTGTGCTCTTTAATATTTTTGCATTTTTATATTAAAATTATTTGTCATTTTAAAATTTAGTTAACATATTGATATTATATGCAGTACAGGGAGCTAGTTTTTTGTGCGCCCATCACCTGCTTGACTCACCCACCAGGCGTCAGTTTGGCTTTGATTACAGTGGAGTGAACATCGATTTTATTGGCGTCTTGAATATTTTTGCATTTTTACATTAAAATTATTGGTCATTCTGAAAATTAGTAAACATATTGATAATATATAATGCAGTGCAGTGTTGATTTAAATAAAATAATCATGAATTACACCTAGTGAACTTAAAATTTTATTGGTGAAATTACTGCATCAAGCATGGGTCCCCTGAAAAGCGATTTCTTCTCCATTCCCACTTCCTTCTCTTCTCCCTTCTCCTCCACCCCCACTTCTAATTCCCATCATCATCATCAACCAGGAACCTTCAACATACATACCTCAAAGTAAGTGTACTTTACTGAATTTTTTTTTTAACTTTGTATGTACTTTTCTGTGAGCTGAAACCAATTACCCAATATCCCATTGAAACAATTGATTCGGTTAACGAAATTTCCGGTTAACGAACGACTCTGTGGAACGAAATGTGTTCGTTAACTGAGGGACTACTGTATTTCTAAACGAATTTACAGGTACTCCTCGACTTACAACATACTCGACCTACTATCACCTGGACATATGACTGCCGCAGTCGTATAAAATAGTTTCAAATTACGTATTTTCGAGTACCGACGTTAGTGATTGAGCCGTGTACTGACAAAATTTTCGTTTGTAATTCCCTTTAAAATGGCTAGCAAGCGTAAAAGTGAGAGTTCTCGAGGTGCTGAGAAGAAAAAGAGACATCCATTTTAGATTTTCTATGTATTATTTTCGCATTTTCGACTTACGACCTGGTCGTCGGTCCCTAACCCCGTCGCAAGTCGAGGACTGACTGTATTCATAATCGTTGGGATGACCATTTCTGAAGAGAATGATAATTAGCTAAATTACATAAAGATACATACAGTACAGTGCATCCTTGAAGATCTGGACTAAAAGGGGGGACCACCTGTCCGGAAAAGCCGATTGTCCGAATCTTCCAGCAAATGTACTAACGTATAAAAACGATAAATAATTATATAAAAATCACCAAAAATACAGTACATATTATCCTGACAACTGGGGTTAGTTATACAGACTTTTTCCTGTTAAAAAGTCATAATTTTGAGCAACATATTACTGTACTCATTTGTACTCAAATGTACTACACTATATACAGTGAACCCTCTCTTTAGGCGGTCAATTGAACCCACGGCGGCCCGTGTAAAGCGAGAAACGCATAAAGTGAACAACATAACATATGGGATTAATTGAAATAGAGACCGGGCCGACCCCCAAACTCCACTTTTTCCAGGCACAATACGTACGTTTTAGTAAAAATAACATCTTAACTTTATGATGGTATGCACACACACATAATATAGAAGAGAACAATCAATAAGAGAATAATATACTGTAGGTTAGGTTAGAAAAAAACAAGGTTAGGTTTAACATTTACGTTAGTAGAAGAGATGGGTCGGCGTACGGGAATGGAGGCTGGTTCCGAGGCAGAGGGCAGGCTACTGGCCCTCAGGTGAGTCATCATCACTGTCATCCACACTTATCAGTGCCTCCCTGACAAATCCCTCAAAGTCACCATCACTGTCTCTGTCACTATCACTGGCTTGGGCTGGCTGTGGTGGGTTGCGGGCGAAGAACTCGGAAATGCTATGTTGACGGCTGCTTTTGATGTTGTTGTGATACACCTTGATGTAGGGCTCCATAGTCTGAACAGCTGGGGAGTGAAGACTTCATACCGGTTATTGTCAGGGTCGTCGGAAAGGAGGAGCTTGGGTTTCTCAATACACTCGATGGCACCCCTTACATTACTATGCGATAACTTGCATTCTTCTTCGGATGACGCACCACCTGCCTCTTCACTGACGTCATCATCATCTAACATCTCGTCGGCAGTCACATCAGGATCCCTTACCACCTCCAGGATGTCGTCGTTGGTGGTCTCGCAGAAGCCTGCAGCTGTAACACTCTGTGCAGCTTCTCTGGCAAGGTCCACTGCTACTGCAACAGTCTGAACCTCACCAGTCACAGATTGACTCTGCCTCCCACCTGGAATACCTTGCAACACGTCTCCATGCGTGACTAACCGTTGCTACAGACAGCTGATCCCATGCCTCCACCAAGAAGTCCACAGCTTTCTTGACGTTGAATTTTCTCCAAAAATGTTTCACAAGTACTTCTTGCTCTGCCAACTGTTGTTCCTCGTCGTCTTCGCTCTTGCTATCGGTGTCACCCAGGTTACGCAACTCATCCTTGGTGTTGGTATAGTCGTTCAGGAGCTTAAACTTCTTTGCAGAGAATGCAGGTTTCACATTACAAATCAATTCTTGGTCCATGGGCTGCATTAATGACATAGTGTTAGGAGGAAGGAAGACCACTTTTACGTTGGGGTGATAACCCAACAGTAGGGGCGAGTGTCCTGGTGCGTTGTAAAGCAGCAACAAAATCTTGAATGGAACATTCTGTTGCTCACAGAATTTCTTCACGTCGGGAACGAAACAGTCATCAAACCAGGAGAGGGACAGACTAGAGAACATCCATGCCTTACGTGTGTCAGCCAGTGGACATTTAGCTTGTCATGTCCATGCTCTTGTAGGCGTGCAGCTTGCGTGCTGTGTGGATCACCGATAACTTGAGCTTACAGGTCCCGTAGGCATTGGTGGTAAACAGGACGGTGATGCGCGCCTTCTGCAACTTCCGGCCCTGACACTTGCTGACATTCTTCACAACGAAAGTCTTGGAAGGTAGCTTTTTCCAAAAAAGACCAGATTCGTCCATGTTAAACACCTGGTCGTCGGTGACCTGTCCTTCCTCCATAATCTCACGTAAAAACGGAGGAAATTCCCTAGCCGCAACACGGTCAGCACTAGCTTCTTCACCACTAATGTTAATATTGGTGATCTTGTTCCTCTTCTTAAACCTCTGCAACCACCCAGAGGAAGCATTGAAGGGTGTGGGCTCTGCAATTCCCATCTTACATGACACTGCAGCATACAGTTCACGTGCGTACTCCTTAACTGAGCACGTGTCCACCGCCATGTTCCGTCGCGCCTGACGAATCAAGTAGCTCACAAGTAATTTCTCCGTCTTGAGAAGCACCTGGTTGTGGCAATACTTGATCATAGAAGCACCTGTAGACTTTGTGATGTTCATGTGCTCCTTTATCTTGGCTGCATCCTTCTTAATTGTCCGGACCGTAGATTCTGGCGCGCGAGATCAACCTGTCTTGTTCCTTTCTCCAACTCTTGGATGATCTTGTATTTAATTTCGTAGCTTAGGGAACGTCGTATCTTCTTTGGCTTAGGGCGGCTGGGTCCAGGTAATGCAAGGTTTTTTTGTGGTGGTGGTGGTGGTCCGGTGGAAGCCATTCTTATGGAACAATAGATACCGATATACACGGTGTAGCCGGGAGGGGTGTAACTGGCGCGGGTAGGTCAAGGGGCTTGAACGCTCCCGAGGCGGGGCACGTCATAGTACATTAAACCAATCACAGCTAGCGGGGGAGGGTGGTAAGGATGCTTGGCCCAATCACAGTCCGATACGTCATATGACGTCACCGATAACGCAACAAAGACATACACTGCGCAACCTACTCGCGCCGCTTACCCAACATGGCGGGATGGAGGGAGGTTTGAATCCAAAAATGGCGCGGCGCGAGAGGACCGCCAGCCGCTCTCTGAGTAAAAGAGAACACGCACCGCGTAAAGTGAGCATTCCGTGTTCGGCAGGGTACCGCGTAAACGTGGAAACTCGTAAAAAAAAAACGCGTAAAGCGGGGTAACAGTGTATCTAAAAAAAAAAATTATCTTATGCAAAATATATGATGTCTATTGTCAAATTATTCCCTGTCTTGCAAGGATTCAAAAAATGCAATTTATATTTGGCTAATTTTAGTCTGTCATTTTATAAAATAAAAACTTTAAGCCTAAAACCACCTTCACCCATACCGGAAGTAGGAGGGGAGTTGATTTGTTATGACAGTTGGGCCGGCGCACCCTGAATGTTACCTAGTGGTATTTATTTATCTGTCATATAGGACATAATTTGACGTAAAATGACGTATTGCTATAAACCAAAATTTCAAGGGAGTAAGGTGGGGGACCTCGTGATCCACACACGACACCCACGCTCATAAACAAAGGGACACGCATCAGGCGCTCAGTCA